CCATAACATGAGTAGATATATGCACACCAATGTTCATAGCATTTTACAATAGCAAAAAGATGGAGACAGCCAGCGTGGCCATCAGCTGAAGAATGGGTAAACAAACTGTGGTACATACACACAATGGAATATTATGCTACTTTGAAGAATAACAAGGAAGCTGCAAATCACTGCAAAAACATGGATGAACCTTGACAACATTATGCTGAGTGAAATTAGTCAGTCACAAAAGGAGACATGCTGCATAGGACCACACTGTAAAAGACTAAGAAAAAGAACCCATACTAAAGGCGGGGGGTGTGTTTCTTTGCTGGTTACCGGGATGTGGGTGGAGGGGTGAGTAGAGGGAAGGGAAAGTTGAGCACAGGGTAGGGAATAGACACAGGATAGTTTGGGGGCTAAAAAGGCAGGGAGTACACAAAAAGGGGGAGGGGAATGGAAGAAAAAAGTGGATGGGAAAGCAATCAGGCAGCTTTGCATGGGTTAAGTGGGACAGAGGTAAATAATCATGTATGCACAACCTTGGAACAACAGGGCTCTGGGATACAGGGATTGAGACATGGTTGGGATGGGGGAAAGGGAGAAAATAATGTTAAGATGCTTGGCTGTCTTTTGAATATTGGTTTCCCTGGCATACCATCATAAAATAGACACTTGATGGGGAGAGAAAAGAATAACCAGAAATATCACCATGGAAAGCTTGTAAGTCTGTCTTCTGCCTATAACTGATTGAAATACCTAAAATAGGGCTACAACGTGCCCAGTGAAGGAAGCTTTCTGTGGAGCCCCTGCATTACATAAGACCATAGGCGGAATCCTGAACCGCATCCAGAATCTTATGAGGTGGAAAATTTCCACTTAAAAGGACATGCAGACCAGCCTGGTGCGGCTAGAAGAACAGAAGATATTTCTTGAAAGAAAGACCAACAGGAAAAATACACAACAATATAGGCAGTCCGACTGATTACTACAAGAACAAGCAAGTGGCTCACCCAGGAGACATCAAGGCAAGTGGTCGGGTCCCCTCAGGGCAAACCCCCTTCCAAGACTAAGAGTCAATGGGGATACACGCTCTGATCGGTGACCACGTTCATCACCGATAAGGGCATGTGAGAGAAAAACAGCAATGAAACTGTGAGCTAAGCCCTACAACATTCAATAGACTTCTGTGAACCCGGGTGGAGACCTGGTTGGCCAGCAGTGTGGCAAGACCTGGGGACTCTTGGGCCCAGAGTCAGTGACATAGCCACAGAGGACTAGAGTGGAGAGTGAAGCATCCAGCTGATAAGAAGAGAGGGCATATGCACAAGAACACCCACACTTGCAGATAATACCCACTTGCCCTGGCTTCGATGACTGGATGATCAGAGCTCAACTAGAAGTAGAAAGAAGAGGGAAAAAAAGAGCAATCTGATGAACTTGACCTACACCTATGGATGCAGTAGCTCAAAAGTGGGAACATATCTTTACAGCAAGGATCATTCCCACCCCCTCCATATGCATAGTAGACAGGGATAGGCAACTTGGACATTGGCTACCCAAAATGGTGTTACAAAGGCAAGAAGTGACTGGCTTACAAGCTTTCAAGAGAGAATCTAGATCCAGTGGCCGTGGAGGAAAGTAGAATCTCCACTGAGTAGTATCCAATCTGTCTAGGTGGACTGATGAAAGGAGATGCAGATAGGTCTCTTGTGATACAATAATGAATAATTGTTATCAGGACTGATTGTGAGGGTTGGAAATGTAAAGGTAAATGTTTTGTAGCAAAAGGAGGGGAGTGATCAACTTTGCAGTCTAGGAGCGGAGGTCACTAGGACCATCATGGGAGAAGAGCGGAGAGTGGGACCCTACCCAGAGAAGCAGTGATGCCAGAGATGGAGGCAGAGATGATGAAGTGGACAGATGGAGCGGCTGGGGACTTTAGACCCACGGAGGGAGAGGGGCATGTGCTGATGACCAGGGGGCAGGCTTGCAGGGTAAACCTTCTAGTTGGTTGATGATGCATGGAGGGGGGATTGTAACCGTGACAATGAAGCGATATATGATAGGATAAATGTAAAGCTAAAGCTAATGTTCTCCCATGTAAACTATCACATTATTCACAATAAATCATTTTTTAAAAAAGTATCAAAAACAAAAAGTGACAGAAAAGGAAAGCTGACAGGAAGGAAATTTTTCACTGAGTCTTTGTGTATAAAATTGGTATCTTTGAATTCTCTGTGATTTCTGAAACATGTGAATGTATTTATTACCTATTCCCAAAATAGAACAAATCGTTTTAAAATTTAAAATAAATATAATGCGCTGGACTGTAAAACACAAAAACAAAAACATTAGTCTGAAGGTCAACGTATGTTCAGATTCAAGATTTCTCCTCAGGGCAAATTTTCATCTGCAGACTTTTTTCAAGGGTCCTTCAGAGGGGACTTTAACATAGGAAGTTACTGATCGAACATATTACACCTCCTTCAGCCTGCTCAGGATCTTACATCAGGGGAGAGAGCATAGCTCCTTACTTCTAGTAGCTCGTCTCCACTGAACAGCTTCCCACTGTGGCCAACAGGGCCTTCAGGTAGAACAGAGCGGATGAAATGATGCCCCACTGTTGCTTCCAGACTTATCCCCAGCCCACTGTTCTCACTGAACTTGCTCACATGGGCCACCTGCAAAGAGAAAAATCACCAAGAATTCCAATGTTCTTTTGTTTCTGTTTTGACATCTATGCATGCATATATTTCATATTCACTCAAAGATGGTCACCTTTCTTATAAGAGCTTCACAAACCTAGCCAAGAGCTTCAATGCTTTGTGGCTTTGCTGCGAAAGATGACTGAAGTCCGCTGGTCTCGTGAATCCAAACACACTGAAAGGAAACAGGAGCAGCTGCAAGCACCCAAGGCACATTGAAGTGTCTCCAGATGATGAGAGCAGATGGAAGGTAGTTAGAACTACCCCAGATACAGTCAAAAACTGGAGCTCAAACAACCATACAGAAAGCATGCATACGGACTTAGCACTTATGATGTGCCAAGGACTGCTAAACCTTTACCTCCGTTACCTTAATTATACCTCCCATTTCCTACTGCTACCTCCTGGGCCACAAGGTTGTGGTGGTTCAAACAAAGTTGGTGGTTCAAACTCACCAGTCACTCCTTGGAAACCCTATACAGGGCCGTTATGAGTCAGAACCGACTCTATGGCACTTAACAACAACAACACTAGAATAAAGAAGAATGTTAGAAATTCACCCTTTCCCCCACAGAATTCAGTGATCTTATTATTGAAATCAGAAGGGACACTAAATAAAGATCATCGCTTTCATCCCCTTAGTATCACAGTTAAGGAAACAAGAGCAGAAAAAGTCAGAAAAAAACAAACATATTCTACTTGAAAGAGTTCACTTTTCAAATATTTCTTGTAATATGTGCAGGAAGAATATCACAAGCTACATCATCTGCTTTTGAAATTGAATGCTGGGTGAAACCTTTCTCATTCCCATAAAGCCCAATTTGGGCATCACTTCCTCTGAGAAATCTTCAGGTCCTCATTAATAACAGCCATTCATTTTCTCTACCACGCTGCCCCTAGGATTTCCTTATGCTGTCTCACTACAGAGCAAACTATCTGAAATCACATCTAGGTCTTATTGATCTTTGTCTGACCGGCACCGATAATAACCAAGGGCTTTCTTACTTCCAGCACACTTTTGTTCTGGACAGGTTATCAGGAGTGCCACCAAGACACCAGGTGAGCAAAGGACAGTTAAGAATTCACAGTCTCAGCTCTGACATCCGTGACCAAAAGGCTAATCAAAAGGTACCTCCCCTCCATCATTCAATGACCACCTGCAGAACTGCTTTCTCAGTTAGGCATTCCAGCCATGCCATCTCTACCACACAGAAGAAATCCTCCAATTTTCTTTCCCATTTCACAGGGTTAAGCTGTGTGTTACTGTATTTTTCCTTGACTTGATTTAAAATGGTAACAGCAACTTGCACTTACTTGACTCTTATTCAACTGTTATCCATTTTGGGTGTTAAAGATTATTGTCATGAGTATTTAAATGAAGCACTTACAACACTGCTTGGCACAACATGCACAATAAATATTAGTTCATATTAATGTTGGAGTCCTGGTGTGGTGCTGTAGGATAAGCACTGGACCCTGAACCGCAAGGTCAGTTTGAATCACAAGGTCAGCATTCAAATTCCCCAGACGCTCCTTGGAAACCCTATACAGGGTCACTGTTGAGTCGAAACTGACTCAGCACTTAACAAAACAACAACATTATTAATGTTATACATCATTATCTATTGCCTTTTATCTTCTCTAATCCAAAGGCAACTGAAGCTCATAGCTATTTAGGAAGCGCTCTGCTCGGCATAATATTTTATTATTCCTTTTTAAATTCCTGCAAATTTCTAGTATATATCTGTTGTTAAAGTGCTATTGAGCTAGTTCCGACTCATAGTGACCATGTATAGAGCTTCCAAGGAGCAGCTAGTCATTTTGAATTGCTGATCTTTTGGTTCACAGTCCAGTTCTGATCCTACAGCACCACACCAGGAGTCCAGTACGCACCTAAAAGTTGTTAATTCTTGTATGCTTTATTAAACCTCTGTTTAGGATAAGAGATCATGAACCGATATAAGCAATTTGCGAATAAGCATGACGCACCATGGCATAAGAACAATAATATGGAAAAAACAATAATATGGAAAAAAAAATTAAACTTCTTCATAGTAACAAATCAAAAATCATGACTAAAGAGAGACCAGGAAAGAGTTCCTTTACATATCTTTATGAATCTAGTGAGTCCCTTTACAAATGTATCATGATGATTTTTGTTTTAGTTTTGTTTTATTTTTAAGTAAACTCTGTCATTGACTTATTATTGTTAAAAGTCACAGATTATGAGTTCTAAATTTCCTATTTATTTTAGCTCCATGGTGATTATTCAACTTTCTCCAACTTGAATTTCAATACCTGGAACAATACTTTCACAGTGCCCAAAAGAGGCCTAGCTAGCATTTTGCTTCTCTGTGGCTCTTTTCAAATGTTCGTCATTATTTTTACTGTAGTCTCAAATACAGCTACGAGTTAGGGAAGGGAAGCTAACCTACCACTATTTCATAATTAATGCCCATAATCTTTTCCCACTTTGTCAGCAGAGCAGCTTCCTGTTGTTGTACATCTTCTATTTCTTCTATCTCAGTAGCCAGTAATGGAAACTCTGAAAAGTCAACGTAATTAAGTTAGTAACAATTGACAAAAATCCCCATATCTTAAACAGTCTGCTCCAGGAATCCTGGGATAAGAAGCTATCCGTTTATCAAATCAGACGCCTCACCCAATATGTGTGTTGCTCTTACTTCTATACAAATTTTGATACATGTTTTAATTGGAACTCTATTATTTGCATATTCAAAACTATTCTCTATTGTTGTTGTTAAGTGCCATCGAGTTAGTTCTGACTCATCGTGACACTGTATAGGGTTTCTGAGGAGTGGCTAGTGGGTTTGAGCTGATGACCTTGCAGTTAGCAGTCCAGAGCTCATCCTACAGCACCACACCAGGAATTCATTCTCTGTTAGTAGATATCTCTTCTAAATTTTAGCAATATTTTATCAAAATGTCCACACACTATGTAACTTTCATTCAATGCAATGAGGACTCCAAGTCACTCTAAGCTTCTCTTGATGGCCCACTCGTGATGGCTGTATGCCATTGAGTCGGTTCCAACTCACGTTGTTGTTGTTGTTAAGTGCTGTCTGGTTTCAACTCATAGTGACCTGCATAGGATTTCCAAGAAGTGGCTGGTGAGTTCGAACTGTCTACCTTGCAGTTCAAACCGACCTTAAGGTCCACTGCATGATCCTGAAGCACCACCCCAGGACTCCTCTAGTGATTAGTGATTAGGATTTCCTAGGCAAGAGAGCTCTGGGAGCATAGTGGTTATGAATCAGGCTGCAAACCTTAAGGTCAGCGGTTTGAAACTACCAGCCGCTCCGCAGGAGAAAGATGAGGCTTTCTACTCCCGTAAAGATTTACACCCTCAGAAACCCTGTACAGATTGCTATGGGTCGGAACCAACTCTACGGCACTTAACAACAACAACAACATATCTTGTAGGAGTAGAAAGCTTCATCTTTCTCCAAAGAGCCACATGGTAGATTTGAACTGCTGACCTTGTAGTTAGCACAAACTCATAATTCAATCCACTACCAGTGTTCCTTTGGTGGCCCATTAGTGACACTGTGATAAAAAAAAATCACATCAGCCTATCAGATCAACTCTTTTATTTGCATTTGGTTCTATAAGGGAAAAATGGCCATACGTGTCACAGTCAAAAAACAGAAAAAATCATTAATAATATATGCAAATACATGTCAGTGAAAAATATAAATTAATAAAAACTGAGATACTTAATTAAAATAAATCCATAATTTTGATCCCCCTAATTGACAAACAAAAATAAACAATGTTCAAAAGAAAATCACTAAGCAAATTATGTAAACGATATTGAAGACAAAATCCTTAGGTAAAACGAGAAAGTGGTTCAGAAGAATTTTAAAGGCATATTCAAAGATGTATATATCTTAACATAATTTTTACTCATAAAGTTTTTTTAATATGGTAGGCAGCATTCTTGGTTATTTTTTCATATCCTTTTTAGCATTCAAAATCCAAATTTAAAGTGTTCCAAAATTCAAATTTCTCAATAACTGTCTCCTCTTAAATGTAAATTAATGAATGTCCACTCCATGTACATTTGACAGATGTGTTAAGTCCTAAATTAAGGAAATAATTCTATTTTCTCTTTGAGAAACTGAAGCAACAAATTGTAGTGAAATAAACTTTAGGGTTTAGTTCCCCCCAAAGAGTATTTTCATTTCAACATTAAATGCCACCCAGAAAGAGGTAAGTTTCTAGAACCTGGATTACAGGCCTCTGTGGGCCTATGCAGGCAGAGAAAGAGGAAATTCAGCTCAGCATCTTGCCTTCCCCCACCTTCCTTTCCTGTGTCTACATAGCTTAGTAGTGAGTCACGTAAGGAGGTGTTCTGAAAGAGGAAGCGGGGAATCTATGAGCTGCTAAAAACCAGTCTTAGAGTCACATCCATACAGCCTACCATCACACAACCATCCATGACCACTTTCCAACTTCTCAACCATTAGATTTCAGGAATACTGAAAGCGTCAAAGCCCAAGTCTGACTTATTCTAAAGTCAAATGACTTGTTCAGGCTCACCCATGAGTAAGAATTTCTCCGGAAGGGGCAATGGCATTTTATCCCCTGAGCGAGGACCACTACTGGGGTAGGAAGGGGCCCTGGTGGTGCTACAGATTAGGCACTGGACTGCTAACCACAGGTCAGTGGTTCAAACCCAGCAGCCGCTCTCAGGAAGAAAGATGGGGCTACCTGCTCCCATACATAAAGACTTACAGTCTCAGAAACCCTAGCGAGAGTCCCTGGGAGGTGGAATCCAGTCAACAGTAGTGGGTTTGGGTTTGTTGCTGTTTATTGGGGTAGATGCATTGGAATCACTTGGGAGTTTCTGTTTTCTTTATGTTGTTTAATAAAGACTTTTAGGATTCTTGGTATAAGCCGAGAGTCTCCCCCATCTACCTTACCCACTGATATACACATTCACCAAAGCAAAACAGATGGTTCTGGGTCTTCAAAACAACTGCCCTGTCAATTCTACCTACTACCTCAAACGGCATTCTTCGAGACATGTTTATCTTTTTCCACAACTCCTGATATTCACTTGAGCCTAAATACTTTTTTCACCTATTAATGTAAACATTTTTAAATGGACTCTTGGTGTAGCACTGGACTGAGAACCACAAGGTCAACAGTTCAAACCCACCAGTGGCTCCTCAGAAATCCTATACAGGGTTGCTATGGGTCAGAACCGATTTGATGGCACTGAACAACAACATCAATGTAAAAATGGCAGGATGTTGTTATTGTTGTTAGGTGCCATCGAGCTGGTACACAACAGAAGGAACCACTGCCCCTCCTGCGCCACCCTCACAATTGTGATATTTGGGTCCATTGTTGCTGTCACTGTGTGAATCCAACTTGGTGGGGGTCTTCCTCATTTTCACTGACCCTCCACTTTACCAAGCATGATTGGATTGACATATGTGAACATTATCATCTCATCCCTAGAATATCTAGTCCAGTAGATTTAAGTATTGTAAGTACTTAAAGCAATCTGAAGACAGGGGCGCACACAGTGGATAATGTTGAAAAACCGCAGTACCCCTGCAGCATAATTACATATTCAAACTTTGCTTCTCTAAAATAATTTTTTAACAACCCTAGGTTTACAGTGGAATCATTATCAGAAAGATGTCATCATTTCTCTGTACAATTCCTTTCCAACCCAATTATTTAATATGAAAAATGAGAACTTCAGAAATTCAAGAAGCCTCCCAACACTAGGTAATTTCATTCCTAAAAGTTTATGCTTTAAAGACTCTCTAGTATTTGCTTTAAAAAAGATTTTAATTTGATTATTGCTTCTTAAAGAAAGTAGATATATATATAGCAGTATATAAACATATAAAGGAGCTCTGGTAGCGTAGTGGTTACGAATCGGGCTGCAAACCTTAAGGTCAGCGGTTCGAAACTACCAGCCGCTCCGCGGGAGAAAGATGAGGCTTTCTACTCCCGTAAAGATTTACACCCTCGGAAACCCTGTACAGGGTCGCTATGGGTCGGAACCGACTCGACGGCACTTAACAACAACAACAACATATAAACATATACTGACTGTATATAAAAGCAAGGGGTCAAATTAAAATTATAAGTCTAACTGGTTGACTCCTAAAGGCTTCTGGGTAAATAACATGTAAGAAAAGGCTACCTCAGCAAGAAAACATACCAGAGAAATGATCTAGTTTAGTCACCTACTCTGGTAGCATAGGTGACTAAACTAGATCATTTATCTGGTATATTTTCTGGTAGCGTGGAGTCCTGGTGTGGCGCTGTGAGTTAATGCGTCAGACTGCAAAGCCACTTGAAGTACAAGCTCTGTGGTTCAAGCTCACCAGTCGCTCCATGGAAACCCTATGCAGGGTCGTTATGGGTCAGAATTGACTCGATGGCACTTAACAACAACAACAACAACAACTCTGGTAGCATAGTGGATTACGAACTGGGCTGCTAAATGCAAGGTCAGTAGTTCGAATCTACCCACCACTCCATAGGAGAAAGAACAGGCTTTCTGCTCCTGCAAAGATTTCTAGCCTTGGGAATTCCACACAGGGTCGGAGACAATTCAGTGGCACACAACCACCAACACCACCAGTTGAACAATTAATCACATCTCTAGGCAGGGATTTGCAAACTTCTATTTTCTCAACACCTTTTAATAACTTTTTATAACCTAAGTGCTTAGTGTAAAAATCATTACCCTAGGAAAATAACAAGAGTATAATAACCTGGGTCCAGGTGTTTACTTTCTTCTTCAGTTGGTAAAATGTTGGTGTTTCTCTTCAAGGATAAAGAGTCTTCATCTTTTGCATAATTTTCTTAAAGATAAAATAGTGTAATCATGATATTTTTAAAAAATACTACCAAGCACTTGAATTTTTCTAATTCCATTGTACTGATTTGAATGCTTAGAATTAGTTATTTGGAATTAAGCTCTTGTATAACCATATTCACTAAAAGGAAAGTTCACCTAGTAATGAGTACAAAGAAATGATCCATTTCTGCAATGATTCGTCTGGGCCCTAGTTTAGCACCACATAAACACAAGGTGTAAATATCACAATGGCGAATCATTTGAGAACTGAAACATTTTCTACCCAGCAGCCTGCCTTCTACCAACAAATGGTTTCATCAATAAAAACTTCAACCAAAAAAAGGTGCTCAGAAATTGCAGTCATTTGCAAAGATCCTCAGATACAAACAACTCAAGCACAAAGATCCTCAGGTTAAAAAAACTACATTTCAAAATGTAGTCAATTCCTTCAAAGCTAAGCACTGAAATCATTTATTATTGTTATTAAGTGCAGTCGAGTTGGTTTCAATTCATAGTGACCCTGTATAGGGTTTCTGAGGAGTTGCTGGTAGGTTTCAACCACTGACCTTATGGCTAGCAGTCCAGTGCTTATCCGACAGCACCACATCAGGACATAAATAGTTCCATTAGGGCAGGGTCTCCTCAAGACAAAGCACAGCTCTGGTAGAATGGTAAATGGTCATGTGCGTGCTGATTGGAACATGGTGATGGGATGATTCTGATAGAGAGAAACCTCCTTTATTCGGAGGCATTAACCATTAACACTATGGTTAGTGGTTCTATGGTACCAAATAACTCCAACTTTATTCAACTTCCTTTTCACTGAGTTCATAATGAGTAATTGGGGATAGAAATCATTCTTTAAATAAGCTACTTCAAATCAAAAACAAAAAAACTAACAAAGGTCTAACTGAAAGCCTGGTAAATTTAGTATTACCTTTGCTGGTGTTGGCATTAAGAGGTGCCAAGACTGCGTCTTTTGTAATATCCTCCCCCGGCGTGAGCTCAGTTTCAGGCTTCATCCCTCCTCTCCTCATTAGCGTCAGGTGCACAGTCTGTCCTGTGTGGCGCAACACCTCTACCGCTTGCTGATTGGTGAAGCCCTGAAGGTTTGTGCCATCCACCTGTGAGGAGAATAAGCCATGCTAAGACAACATTGGACATACACATTACACCATCTCTGGTGTTGCTTCTTCTTGGGTCCTGCATTCCGCTTGTGCTCTTCTCCCTTGATGGTTTTAGGGTGCTCTGTTTCTGGATTATAAGATTAACTACTCACCCATTTTTGTTACAAAACTTCTACCTTCACAATTGTGACAGTCGCAATTAATCATGATAACAATTACTCACTACTGAATCATAAGAATCTTATAACCATCGCTTTTTACCAGACCCATCTAGACAAGATGAAAACTATTCAGTAGGAACTCTGATTATGCTGTTTAGTTCCTCTGTGCCTTTGTGGAGTTTCTTTATAGTTGTTCTCTCCTTTTTCGAAAGTGGTGTATTAAAAATTCCCACTATTGTTGCAGATTTATCTATTCCTTTCTTCAAATCTATTAGAGTTTGCTTTATATATTTTGGAGCTCTTTCATTGGAAGCATAGATATTTATTATGGTATGTCATCTTGTTCAATTGTCCCTTTAATCATGAGATAATGTCCATCTTTATTGATTATGCTGGGTTTTGCCTTGTAGTTTATTTTATCAGAGATTAGTACTGCCACTCCTGTTCATTTTTTATTGCAATTAGCTTGATATATTTTTTCTATCCTTTGACTTTTAGTCTGTTTTTGTCTTTGTGAATAAGGTGTGTCTCTCACAGACAGCATACTGAAGGATCTTGTTTTCTTATCCATTCTGCTACTCTCTGTCTCTTAAATGGTGCATTTAATACATTTACATCCAATGTAATTATCAGTAGGTATGGATTAACTGCTGTTATTATGTTTGTTTGCCTGTTTGTTTGTTTTTGTGGTGCTGCTGCTTTCTTTGCTCTACATGTCCTCCTGTGCTGAGTTCACGTTTTTTGTGTTCTTTCTTGTCAGTTTCCTCATAGTTTTAATGCTTCCATATTCCAGTAAGAAGAAGAAGACCGCCAGCGAGGTGGAATGGCAATATGGCAGCACCAATGGGCTCAAGCGTGGCAACAATTGTGAGGTTGGTTCAGGATCGGGCAGTGTTATGCTCTGTTGTGTTCTCATAGGGTCACTAGAGTCACTACTGACTCGATGGCACCTAACAACAACAACAAGAATATTCTTCTTGGATTTTCATTTTCTTGATATCTTGTAAAGTATTAATTTTCTTTGAGGATACCTTATATTCTATTAACTTTTCCCACAATATAAAACAGTCTATTTTATCTCGTAATCTACTTGACTTTCTCATCACCTGGATCTCTGTTCCTATGTGTTTACCTTCTTTCACTCTGTAATTGTTTTGATCATAGACTGACCTCCCAGATACTCTGAGTTTGTTCCTTTACTTTTGTTCTGTTCTCAACTCTTCATTTGTCGACTGAGTTCCAGGTAGTGTTGCCATGAATGTCATTCTCTGGTTGTTGTCTGTTCTTGTTGGTTCTCAGTCCACAGAATTCCCTATAGGATGTTTTGTAGTGCAGGGTTGGCTTTCGCAAAATCCCTTAGCTTCTGTTTATCCTGGAATGTTTTGATTACACCATCATATTTGACTGACAGTTTTTCTGGGTAGAGTATTCTTGGTTGGCAGTGGGTTTTTTTTGTTTTTTTTCTTTCTTTCTTTCTTTCTTTCAGGGTTTTATATATATCTCCCCATTGACTTCTTGCCTGCGTGGATTCTGTTGAGAAATCTGAGCTTAATCTGATTTGCTTGGCTTTGTATGTAACACTTCTCTTTTCCCAGGCTACTTTCAAGATTCTGTCCTCATCTTTGATTTTGGAGAGCTTGATTACTATATGTCGTGGTGATTTTCTGTTGGAGGCCTATCCTTCCTGGGGTCCGTTGAGCTTCTTGAATGCTTATCTTTCCAAGTATCAGGATGCTAGAGAAATTTTCTTTCAGAAGCTCTTCAACTATCTCCTCTGTGGACATGTGCGGTTCTTCCTGTTCCAGAAGGCCAATAATTATTAAGTTATTCCTCTTCATGTTGCCCAATATGAATCTGAGACATTCTTCAGATTTTTGTATCCTTTTTTTCTTCTTGCTCTTCTATCTTAACAATATTGTGTGATTTATCTTCCAGGTCACTAGTTCTGGCTTCTATCTCTTTAGTTCTACTCCTTGGCCCTTTCACTGTATTGTCCATTTCTGATAATCTATTATTAATCATTTGGACCTCTTTTTGTAGGTTTTGAAATGTTTCCAATGCTGTATCTATCTTATTTGATTGCTCCTGTAGTGCTTTCCTGACTTCTTCCATATTTTTCTTAACACCTCTGGAAAGTATTTTGATATATTTCAGTATCATTTTTCTGAATTCCTTCTCATGCATTTCCAAAGCCTGCTCTCCTTCCAATACGAAGTCTTGGTCTAACACCAGCTCATTTGTCTCAGTAACTTTATCTTGTTTCTGGACATGTGCAGAGACATTCATCTGTTTCTTGTCATCATTAATAGTTAGCTCTGACCTCAATAATTAGATGAATGTATGTTGATGTCTATGTTTTCTGATTGCCTCCGGGTAGATGTGATCAGGAGATGGACTTCTCTTTTCACTCTTCTTATTACTCAACTCAGAGTAACTGTCGCAGATGTTGGCTGCCAATCTATTGTGTGGCAGCTGGTATTGATTCTTACCTGGATGGTGTGATTTTATAGGGTGTGATTGTAGCTTGACTATATGACTGCAATTTCTGTCTCTTCTTGGGTAATGTAGGGAGATAAAGAGCCCCAAAAGGTAAAGATGGGACCAAAAAACCAAAACAGCAACAGGAAAAAATACAGATTGGATACTTTAGTCTATAATCTCAGAAAAGAGAGAAAGAGAAGAAAAAAAAATTCTGTAGCCAAATATGGGTATGACTTTAATGTCCCTCTCTTAGCTTCTTGCCTTCAAGGCTGCCTGAGAAATGTCAAAATCCACTCTTGGTCATTATGACATAACTCAGGATTTAATTTTCAGGCTGTTTCCTTTTTTGTTTGTCTCTCTCCCAACTCCACAACCAGGCCTTTTTCCTAGTGATAAACAGTTCAGGGTCGGCTGTGGTCATATGGCATTGCCATTTGGTTTAGAAAGGGGAAACTTTCCCTGTAAATTCTCAGCAGATCTGTGTGCATGTATAAGCACCTCCTCACTCAGGCACCCCCTCGAGTCACCAGAATGGAGGTACACAGATAGTGAGAAATCAACAAATAGAGACAAAAAAAAAAAAAAAGAAGAAGTATGTCCACACCTTTCTCTTCAAAGATAGGTCAGGCGTCAGTCCCCATGTTGGCTCTGATCCTTCCCTCACTCCATCTCACCCAACACTCTGGGAGCCGCTGAGTCTGGCCAATCAGAAAACACTAGATATCTTGCTTCTGCTACAAATTCCACTGGTTATAAGCCTTTAAACTTTCTAAATACTCCTTTATAGGTGGTTCAGAGTTCTGGGACTGTCCCCTGAAACTGCTTTGTACAGTATTCTATGGTATTGCTGATGGAGGTCTTCATTGCACTTCTCTCGGAACCACCATTAAGCCCCATCCTTCATTCTACAGTTTTTGCTTCTATTCTTTCTATTTTTTTGTTTGTTTGGGATGTACACCAAAACACTCAGGAATATACAATCATTCAAGCAACCTGCAAGTCTACCTCTGGCCACCAGTGGAGTTAACTTTTTAAAAGCACAATAGTGGTCTTCTATCAAATACAGTTTTATGAAGGATGTTGTTGTTATGTTCCATCAAGTAGGTGCCAACCCATAGCATCCCTGTACAGAGTTTCTGAGAAGCAGCTGGTGAGTTTGGACCACCAACCTGTGGTTCAAAATGACCTTGCAGACCAGCGCATTAACCCACAGTGCCACACCAGGACTCCATAGAGAATATAGCTATATGACATGTGAAAAGAATAAGAATAATGAAAGGAATCCTGTATTCTGTCCTCGGCCCCTGTGCATACAGTGAAATTCTAGGGGTCCACAGAACTCAAGTTGTACCACAGCGATCTACAAGCCAAAGAGTTTTAAAGCTACAAAATAACACTATTCCAAAATAGCAAGAAATAATTTCTTAATATTCTTAACACTTCAACAACTACAAAATTAAAATATTCTCCAAACAGCTGTTACCAAAACCATAAGCAAACAAACAGCCAAAGGCTGCAGTTGTGGAAAAGCAATTGCGTGTGAAAAGCTGTCCTACTGCTCTCTCAGAGGTCCACAAGATGGTGATATTTTTCAAAAAACTAATGGCTGATAGAAACCACTGCAAGGTATTCCTCAGGAGCTTTCCATTTTAAAATAAGGGAATCTTGCTAAAATAAAACAAAAACTCAAAATATCAATGAGGGGTCAGTCAGAGATTTTATCCAAGCAAGAAGGACATGTTAGGCAAAAGTTTGTTCCACTTTTGAGTCAACAATTTGCTTTATGACTCACCTTGACAAAGCGGGATTGTAAGGAAGCCTGGCAGGGCAGCAGGAGTCAGGTTCTCAGCTACTAATTGGAAAATCACTGGTTCAAACCTACCAGCTGCTCCAAAGGAGAAAAGTGTGGCAGTCTGCTTTCAAAAAGATTGCAGCCTTGCAAACCCCATGAATCTCTATTCTTATGGTCGCTATGCGATGGGACCAACTCAACGGCAATGACTTTCGTTTGGTTAAAAGGGAAATCATATTGGAGAATGAAGATAAGGGCAAGTTTGAAGGGAAGTTGTGAAATTCTTTCAGATATGAAATCATTTAAGCCCTCCAACTTAATTAATAAAACTATACTATGGGCCAAAGTTTGTACCAGGTATTTTAAATAAATTATGGCATTTGGTTCTCATTAAAAAAAAAAAAAAAGCATACAACAAAAGTGTCCTTATTTCAATTTTGTAACTTAAGAAACTGAATCCAGAAGCATGCTATATGGTTATTATCACATGAACCAGCAACTGCATTCCTGGGAATTAAAATTATGTGTCCAGGTAAAACTTGGCAACTGTTCATATAAACCTTATTCTTAATAGTAAAAACATGGGAACAACCTAAATGTCTACCATCTGATAATTGATAAACAACTGTAGTAATATCTATGCAATGAGCTATTACTCAACAACATGAGAATGAAGGACTGACACATGCTATAGCATGGAGGAACCCTAAAAACATTTGCTAAGTACAAGAAGCCAGTCATGACACCCATACTTGCAGACAGTACCCACTTGACCTGGCCTCGATGGCTGGATCATCAGAACTCAACTAGAAGAAGAAAGAATGGGGGGAAGGAGGAGGAAGAGTAACTCGCTACAATTTGACAAACTTTCCCTATACTTATGGATGTAATAATTCAAAAAAGGGAACAAATCTTTACAGCAAGGATAACTCCCACTCCCTTGGTACACAGGGTTGACAAGGATGGGCACCTGAAATGGGGAGAGCTATAAAGGCAAGAAGTGACTAGCTTACAAGCTTTCAAGAAGGAGCCTAGTTCCAGACGGGGCCGAGGTAGGTAGAATCTCTACTGAATGATTTCCAATCTGTTAGGACCAGGCTGGGGAAAGGTAATGGGGATAAGACTCTTGTGGTACAATAGTGAATAACTGCCATCAGGACTGACTGTGAGGGTAGGAAATACAGAGGTAGATGTTTTTTGACAAAAGGAGGAGAGTGATTGATTTTGCAGCCCAGGAGCTGAGGTCCCTGAGACTATCAAGTGAGAAAAGTGGAGAGTGGGACCCTATCCAGAGAGGCAGTGACGCCAGGAATGGGGACGGAGACAATGATGTGGACAGATGGAGCGGCTGGGGACACTGTACTCAAGTAGGGAGAGGGGCTGTGTGCTGATGGCCGGGGGGTGGGCCTGTGGGGTGTATCATTTGGTTATTTGACAATGCGTGGAAGGGATTGTAATCAACGCAATGAAATGAAATACGATAGGATGAATGTAAAACTGATGTTCTCCCATGTATACCTACATAACTCACAATACAAACTTAAAAAGAAAAAAAAAAGAAGCCAGTCATGAAGGACCATATACAAGAATTATGTGATTCATTTGTATAAACTGCCTTGTTAAGTGTCGCTGAGTCAGTTCTAACTCATAGCAACCCTGTGGAGAGTTTCCAAGGAGAAGCTGGTGACCTTGAACTATCAACCTTGTGGTTCAAACCAACCTTGCAGTCCAGCGCATTAACCCGCAGTGCCAAACCAGGATTCCATATAAACTGTCTAGAATAGGGAAGAAACTCATGATCAGAATACAACAGGTTAGCAGCATGGTTTCTAGAGTAAAGGCCAAGAAGTTACTGAATACGTTTAGGTAGAAGTTTCATAAAACTAAAATCAAGAAGACTCAGTTCAGTTGCAATGTAGAAGCAAAGGATTCTTTGTGAACATCCTACTTTCTGTTTTTACTGTTATTAAGATCCCAAGGGAATAACAGAGACTTTATTGTTGTTGTCGAATGTTACTGTGAGTGTCTGTTAAGACGTACAGCGACCCTTACAGGGTTTCTGAGGAGCGGCTGGTGAGTTTGAACTGCTGACCTTACAGCTCAAGCCAACCTTGAAGTCCCGTGCTTATCCTAAGGCACCACACCAAGATTCCAATAGAGACTTAAGCATAAACACATAAATAGTAAAATAAATTAGCATTTCCCAAGGTGACTTCCAAATAGTATTCATATATATTGGGAAAAGAAAGTTCCCTAATCATGAAAGTTTAGGAAGCCTTGAGAGAAAACGTTCAATAGGTTACTCTAACAGAGCATTTCCTAAGGTTCTCAATTTCCCAAAGTGCACTGTGAACCTCTAAGATACTATGTCATCTGTGGAGCTTCCTGCAAGTAACCCTGTGTGCGGAATCTTCTTGAATTTGTGTTCTGGGAGGAGTTGGGTTGTTTAAGAAGTCCAGTTTCTAATGAATAAGGAGTCAGATTCTTTGGCACACCACCTTAAATGGAGATCTGCTTAAAACCTACTGATGGTCATCACCTTTAAGATAAGGATGACCTTGTACTAATTAGGAGCCCAAGTGGTGCTGCTGGATAAGCACTGGGCTGCTAACCACCAGGTTAGCAGTGCTTCAAACCCACTAGTGAAAAGATAAGGCTTTCTGCTCTGGTAAAGATTTACAGCCTCGGAAATGCTCTAAAAGGTCGATCTGAGAAGAAAAGGACTCAATGGCACTGCGTTGGGTTGGATTAGTCTTGGCCTAATTATGAGACGATGGGTGTGTTTCTTTTCAAGAATTCATTGCCCAAAGACTCACCATTAACAATGTCATTCTGCTGATTAAAATTGTTTAAAGTTAAGCATTCCAAAAACAGATCCAAATATACTAAAGGTTTTCGCATCCACTCTTTCAAGATTAATTAATGTAATGAATTCATTCCAACTAGAAATGAAATATTTAAAAAATCTATTCAGGCAAAAAATTGCAAACTTTAGAGTTGAGATCAGAAAAGCTTCTATTCCATGCTGGTTGGTACCCCCTCAAAACAGCTAGGTCATTTTAATGATCGCCTTAAGTCACCCCAACAAGTTTCCTGAATACTGAATGAAATAGCTGCAGTTCTTCAAGTTGAGTAAACTAGAATGCACTTCTCAAACATGAAAATTAACAAAGCTATTATTAAATGTGTCACTTACTGCTATAATTTGGTCTCCAATTTGGATTCTTCCATCATGTTCAACAGTACTGCTTTTTGTAATGCTCTTGACAAAGATTCCCGAAGGCTCTAAGATTAAAAATAATTTATTTGCCAGTATATCCACCTTTCTTGCTTCAAATATAAAAATCCCAAATTTGCATAGATAATAAATTAAGAAGCCATGTTAATCACACCATTCATAGAAACTTAGGCTGTACACAAAGATAATTGTTTTGTCTATCTCAACTACTGTATCAGAATAGTCAAAATTAAACTATTCCTAAAGAAGTTTCCAGTTCATCCAGTAATCTTAAAACACAAAGTGCTGATTCGATAAGACAAAGATATTAGAGGCAAATGCTGAGTTAAAAAAAACATAGTGATTGTTTAACGTTACCTAATTTTTTATCTCCAATGTAACCAGCAATTGTAATTCCTAATCCTTGGATATTTTTAGTGAGTTCCACATCAAATGTCTCATTTTCTTCATTTTTTTTGGTTGAAGCATCAACCTAAAATCCACAAATAAACAAACAAAACCAAGTTCACAAACATAAAGCCTTTATTTAGAAATAATGCAGTATAGTTGGAACTCTGCTAGAGAGTTCCTGTAGAGACCACTCTTTCAATCATTATAACACAGACTTTGCATCATGTTGTTACTCAGAAAGCAATGTTAGCCAAAAAGTAGAGCCTTCCCTTATCAGAGAGGTACTTTATTGTTTGTATAGACATAATGTTAAAATTCACATATTTTCTTACTAACAAGTTCAGCCCAGGATCAAGCAGTGTTTCATTCTGTTGTACAAAGGGCAGCTATGAGTGGTACCTAACAACAACAAGTTCAGAGTCAGGATACGGTACAGTGGAGAGAGCTCAAGTTTGGAATTCAGATAAACTCTTCTAGTTTGCTACTTAATCTTTACAAGGATCACTTTACTGAATTGCATATCAGAAATTATAACAAACGCAGATAATATTTATGGATGCACTTCCTCTTAGAGGAAGGGTGGACCCTATAAGGTCTGAGAGATCAGTGGTCAAGCCCTGCCAAGGCAACCTCATTTCCAGCCATCACATTGTTGTTGTTGTTGTTATGTGCCTTCGAGTTGGTTCTGACCCATAGCGACCCTGTGATTTCCAAGGAGCGTCTGGTGAGCTTGAACAGCCGACCTTGCAGTTCAAACCAACTTTGCAGTCCAGTGCATTAATCCACAGTGCCAAGGGCGAGTTAATTAAATGTTGGACCAAACACAGCAGGTTGATTTTTAAGTTGATAATCTTGTATCACGAATTATGTTATAATATCCAAATGCCCCTTGGCAGAACAAAGGTTCCCCAGCCCTGTTTTAGTGCATATCTCTAAGAGAGGTATAATTATGATGTCAGTTTTCACTGGGAAAGCTGAGACCTAGAAACTTTAACAAGGACAGTTACTATCTAGTAGAGGCGGGATTCAAAACTAGAAAGTCTGAAATGATACATTGTATGTGAAGTCTCTAGTGCAGTGTAAAGCCACAGTATCTACTCAGGAAATATTAGTCACTGTAAAGGTCGTTATTAGTTGGAATCGACTCGCTGGTAGTAAGCTTTTTAATTTTTCTTTTCTATTTTGGTTTCATTATTATTGAATTGAATGGTAAGGTTTATCCACATAAACCTTAGGGGACTGATATAATAATTCATCAGTAAGCTGCTGGCAACATGAACTAGTGTAAAGTCAGCAGATTCTACAAAAGAGCACAACAGGATCAGAGCTATGAGTCCTGGGGTCTCTAAGGGTGTACAAGGGTTGCAGAGTACAGGGTGTGATACCAAAATGATTGACTATAAATTTTTTCGTTGTGTTTTAGCAGTAATTTATTAATTTTTATAAAACTATTCCTGTAGTTAATCATAGGGAAGCATGGAACCTACCAGATGGCACTTAACAACAATAGTTTGTTATAACAACAAAAACTTATCAGAAGCCCAGATTACGAACTGATACACCTACAAGGCTAAAACTCTATACTCATTTCCTTTCTGAACCTTCTAATGCACTAAGGGTGTTCTAGTGTAGTGCTATAGGATAAGCACTTGACTGTGAAGTTGGTTTGAACTGCAAAGTCAGTAGTTCAAACTCACCAGCCGCTCCATGGAAACCATATACAGGATTCACTATGAGTCAGAACCAATTTTGACGACACATAATAATAACAACAATGTACTCAGGGTGTCCTGGTATGGCGATGTAGGATCAGCACTACACAACTAACCACAAGGCTGGTGCTTTAAACCCACCATCTGCTCCTTGGAAACCTTACACAGGGTCGCCAAGAGTCAGAATTGACTGGACAAGCACAAAACAACAACGTGCACTCAGGTCTGAGCCGTCTTACAAGGAAGCTTCCGGTCACGTGGTCCCATCTGCACATGCTACATGGACACGCTGTTGCTTCCGCTGCTGCAGGCATTCTATTTGGTAGCTGATTTTGTCAAATTTTCTGTTGTTTTAACTACAATATTATGGTAATTAGTATTTGTGAACTTCTAACAATAACAACTTTCTGAGAATAAATTAGTAATTAAAGGAAAAGGAGAAAAAAAATTTAAAGGCTTCTGCTGAGCTACTAATAATGATGTTCTAAGTAATAATGTTGTAATTCAGTGTAGAAAAATTTCACAAAACAATTGCCATTAGTGTTCCTATAATTTAGTAAATATTACCTTTTAGCAATTTAAATCTATATTATATATTAATCTATGATTACAATTGATTAAAAAAAAATTACCAAGGGTTCTGTAATAACTGGTCTGAAGGACGTACATGGGGCTGGGGGTTGACACCATCAGCTACCAATCCTGATGACATCACTGCCGACAAGTTCTAATGGATATATGCGTTGGGGCTAGGAGTTAACTGGAAATGTTTTCTGACTTTCTTGACACAAACTCTGACTGCATCTCATGGATAGCCCACCTAAATAAGATCATTTTAGAGTAAAGTTTGATTTATTATTTTTTTTCTTTGCACATAATTATCTGTGCAAACTTAGCAAAAGTTTAAAGTTTAGATAATTACAAGAAAATGACAGGATGAAATCTGCTTCAATTGAAACAAATGTGTTTTCTATTTTTAATAAGACTTATGCGAGTGCTATTTTAGAGGGTGGCAATTTGACTATCGAATGGTTTTAAAAGGGGTACAAGCTTCAGAAATGATGATATGCACAGAATAGATATTTTTCGAAGCATTCAATTACATCAAGTGGTTTTCGGTACTGCATTCATTTATGTATTGCTGAATACAATGTTTTATTTACCACAAAAGAATGCCATTTAAATACTTTCATAAACAAGCTTTCTTTCTGTACTTCTTTCTCTTTGCAAAAAATAGAAACCAAACTCAATCGGAAAGACAACAGATCATGGAAGTTTTAATTGCTCCAATAAAGTTTTTCAAGACGTATGGAAAAAGTCAGGACATTAAATATATAAATATA